AAATAAAATTGGTAGCATCGTCAGTTCGTGCGCCCAAGTTGTCTTTTTTCTAGGATTAACTATTTATTCTTTACATTTTTCTTTTTCAAACAAGTTTCTTATCAAATTAAATAATTTTCTTTTTCTCATATTTGGTTTCTTAATTTTATATTGTATTTAAAACTCTCAAAATATCGAAATTTTTCTATTGGCAACGGTTGTTCCATCGGGCTGTTTTTATTAAACCCATCCAAAGGTGCGTATACGTTAAATAATACATTATTAAATGATTTTTTTTCACAATGCCATTGAAGATTCTAGGTGTCCCGTGGGACCAGCAGAAATATTCTAATTGATTCTAACTTTCCCCGTAAATTATTGATTGAATACCAAATTTTAAATATTTATTTTAAATTTAAGTTATAGTGGATAAAAAATTACTCCCTCCGTTTCAAAATATTTGTAGTTTTATGTGATTTTCCATGTTTTAAAATATTTATCATTCTACATTTTCAAGGCATTTTTTTACAATAGTTTCCGATTTTATTCCTATTAAATTCTAATAAATTATTAGTGATAACATTGTTTTTATCATTAAATAAGGGTATATGTGACTTTTTTTATCTTTTCTTAAAAAATGTGAAATAACCTAAAACAACAACTATTTTGAAACGGAGGGAGTATAATTTTATTTTTGAAGAGTTAGGGGTATTACATTTTTTTGGTAACGGCGGAGAATCCATCGTAATAACCTTTCAGATCAGACACCGATTGATTCCGCGGGTCGGACAACATCTCGGACAGTAAATCCACTGGCTCTGCATAATAGCCGACAAACTACGGAAATCAAATAAACTAGTAGAAACTGACCGATTCATCAGCAGAAATTTAGACCTAAAAAGGAATCTAACCCACAATCTCATGTGGAAGGGATTTCTCATTTTTTAAATGAATTGGAACTATTCAGGTATTATATTTTATAGTTTAAAACTGAAAATTTTGTATTCTATAGTACATATCAAATAAAAAATATTAAAACTAATATAATATTGTCATGGTTTATATTGGTTTTATTTATATACTTTATATATGAAAATATGTTTTATTTTGTGTAAAATATGATATTATATATGTTTGTGTGTGTGTTAAGAAAAAAATGAGTGGACTCCGTCTACCGAACTAAAAGTCAGACGAGATATTTTAAACGCAAGATCGTGGGCCTTTCAATTCATAATCAACTTCAATAATAAATTAATAATAGCCTTAAATTTAATATATATATATATATATATATATATATATATAAATTAAATGAAGTCGTCATTCGTTATTTCTTGAAGGATAAAAATTTTCGAATCATTTTTTTTGTTTTGTACATATGATAGCATGACGCCTTTGTTAATGCAAGGAAAGAGTACCAAGAGAAGATTCAACATCTAGAAGATCTCAGATAAGAAGAGAAACATGTCAATATAAAGAAAGGGAAGGAACAACCAGCAAAGGAATTACTGGCAAGAGAAAAGGAAATATGCCATTGAAGAAAAATAGAAAGAGTAAGCAAAAGGAATAAAGATAAAGAAAAGGAAAAACAAATATGATGAAACAAAATGGAAACCCTATGCAGGAGGGTGGGCATAAATAAAGAGGCGTGCACAATAGAAGAGATCACCCAAGCAGAGAGAGAATGTTTGAGTCGTGAAAGCTTTGGGCATAAACATATTTGTATGGGAAACACGGGTGAGTGATACTTGAGATATAGTGAAGTGTATCTGAGGGGGAGCCTTCAAATAACAGGCGAATCGCTCAAAGGGCCTAGACGAGTCTAGGGTTACACGGGGTGTGCGAGGCACACATAGTGTATGAGCTGAGGGAACAAACTCAAGGGGAGTTGTGTTCTTGGATGGATTAGGCTCGAATAAAAAAGAGTTATAATTTATTTTCTTTACAAATGAATAGAATCAGTTGGAAAGTTATTGAAAAAACAATATCGTGTGATTTTACTTTTTCAACTTTAAAAGACAAAAACAAATCTCTGGATTTTATGCAATAATTGTTATTACCAATAATTTTATGTGTACGTTTTCTATCACCTTAATATATAGTACGATCACATCATTAACTGTTGCTACAAATTAAATAATTTTAAAATTATAGGGTGAAACCTACTATATATAAATAATATTTAAGATTTTTAGCCGATCAGTTTCGGTTGGTTTATCTATTCCGCGTGATTTGTCGTTTATTGTGTGAAGTCGAGAATTTACTGTCCGAAATACCATCCAATCCGCGGATCGACCGGTGGTCGGTCCGAACGGCTATCACGATATTCTCCACCGTTTCCAAAAAAATATATATATATTTAAGACTGCTAGATAATAAAATTGAGATTTAGGGGTCACCATGACGTCAATGCTAAAATTTGAGGAAAATTACAATTAATGCCCCTAATCTTCAAGACATTTACACATAATGGCAAAGATATTGGATTTATACACCTTTCGCCCATTTATGAGACAATGCATAAAGAGCTGACTGATTTCCGAAGAAATCAACATTTATATGTGCAATTAAACATATAATTCTAAATATATAAAAAATGATATAACATTTTAAATAGAAATTAATCGTCAGGATAATTTTATGTAAAATTCTAATTATGTGAAGATTTATACTATAGAAAAATATTTTTTTTAAAAAAAAATAGATCTATAATTAATATAGAATGCAAAATATCATATCTACCATCGATCTAAATTTAACAAAGAAAAAAGAAGAGATTTTTGTATTATATAATTATAATATGTCTTTGATTCTATATCAGATATTAGGATGAGGACTAAAAATGTTTTATCATAAAAAAATTGAAAATAAAGCATCTAGAAATAATTTGAAATGTATGAAACTTGAGACCGCTGCAACTAAATACACAAATAAATCAACTTGAATCTTTTTTTATATATTTATTATGGATGTATGTATCGATGTCTTTAATAATAAGATATATTTTTTTAATAAACTTGGAAAAAATATTTATAGAATTGGGGGTGACGTCATGGATTACGGCTACAGATGGATTGATTAGTTGGTATTTGAAATTTAAATTGCCATTAATAAGAATAATAAATTTTCTTCACAGTTTGTTCATAAAATAAAAAATGATCATATATCAGTATGTAAAAATATTTATTCGTAGGCTAAATAATAATTGATGGATTTTAAATTTAACCTTCTTTTGTGATCCAAACAACATATGTAATATAATATGTTTGGAAAATTTATATGTAGAAAGATAATTTAGTTTCTTTTAAACCTACAACTCTATACGGTGCGGAAGATTAGTTATATGTAAACTTTTGACATTTTGACATAATAATGAAAATGTTAATGGTGATAGAAAAAAAAAATATATGTAGATAATCTATTATCAGTAGATAATATTTGGTATTTTTTATTCAATTAACCTTTTTATATTAAATAATAAAACAATTCTATACATATAAATACGTCTATATTATTAAAAAGATTCAAATAATTATTTCGTAATTCGTGTAAACATTATGAGATAAATTATGAAAGTTGACTTTGGCAGAACTTGCGGAACTCTTTCTGTCCCTTGAAAAAAAAAAATCTTGCACTAGTAATCAAGAGTAGATTAATGAGTGACTGAATCATATATATAAAATATAAGAATAAAAAATTGTTGAGAGAGTTTATAAAATGTATGAATGAATAATATATATATATATATATATATATATATATATGGTAGACGTCCAAATATAATTCAAGAGTAGATTAATGAGTGTTTGACATTGTACGTAAATATTTTGGTCAAATATTCAACCCCATCATATATATATATATTGCGTCCAAATATAATTCAAGAGTAGATTAATGAGTATTTGACATTCTACGTAAATATTTTGGTCAAATATTCAACCCCATCATTTTATTTATGAATTGCTCCATTTATTTTCTTTTGCAGTTGCACACCAAATAAGTATAGCCCTCAATCGTTGACTATTTAAGAAGTATATATGGGTCGATATTTTTTCTTTAAACTTCTAATAATCTTTCTATAAAGAGATAACTGTGGGCCTAAAAGCCCATTAAGGCCCATGATCAGTTCCATTGATAAACCTTAGGCCCAATAAAGAGCCCCCAACGCATGTGATTATTTATTTGGGAATTATTTCATCCAAATTCCAATTGTTTACAAATCAGTTGTCTATATTTCCCTCTAAATTAACCATTGTGATCGATTTTCATATCAATTCACAACTAAAGCAACTTACTTTGTAAATTAAAATGAACCAATCCTGTTATCCGTTCTCCTCTTTAACTTTGTAAATTAAAATTGATTATAAGGGTAAAACTCCTAAAAAACCTCGAACTTGAAAAAAAATATACAAATAAACCTTTACCTTGCAAAACTGTCATTCAAACCTCAAACTTGCAATATATAACTGAATAAAACCTCGAACTTGTAAATTGTTGTTCTAATAACCCGTTGACTTGTTTGACCACAACTTCAGACAATCAGAAATCCACGTTGGTTCGGAAAGATGATGTCAGCGTATCCACGTATCCAATTTTAAATGAATTTTTGTCACATCAGCATTTTTCGGGTCGAAATTTAATCCTATTTGAAAGTAAATAAAGTCGGTTTTTCGATCGTTTGAAATTGTGGTCAAACAAGTTAACGGGTTATTAGAGCAATAATTTGCAAGTTCGAGGTTTTATTCAGTTACATATTGTAAGTTTGAGGTTTGAATGACAATTTTGCAAGTTGAAGGTTTATTTGTATATATTTTTTCAAGTTCGAGGTTTTTTAGGGGTTTATCCTAAAAAAAAAATAACAAGACAAGTTTTACTCAAAATAACAAAAAACTCAAAGACAGATTTCAACATTTGTGGCAATAACAAATTTACACTTGGTAATAATACAAATCTAGTAGAGATTGCATAATACGTTTTTTTTAAATTTATTTCCTTGAAGCAATCATATATTAGCTCATGTTTGTATTATACATAGGACAGCAAAGATTTCACAACTTTTACTTAAAAAACTCTTGAAGAATCCATATTGAATCCTCCAAAATAAAAAAAAAAGGGTAAGAAAAAAAAAACTCCAAAGACTCCATAATAGTTTCATAACAAGCTATTTATGACACCTTAACTAGTTCTTACAAAAAAAAACTGAAAAAAAAACCCCTCAAAATTTGGTCTTTAGTTACTTATTGATCAAGTTAACAAAAGGGTGTGACTAGGTTATGGAAACATGCCTTTCTTGCGCCACAAGTAACCGTAGCCATGGCCGGAGAGACGCCAAAATTACCATTTCCTTCGGCATCAAAGTTCCATAGTCCGTCCCATAACGCGTTATCTTCGTACATAGCAGCTTCAGGGACTGTCATCTGATGAACCGCAGGCCAGTAGCCGTTGTTGGTTTGATAGTGATGCACTTGCAATTGCTCCTCTGTTGCATTTGGAGCATAAGCAGATGTTGTTCCTGTTGCTGTTGTTTGCGGTGCCATCTGAGGAACATAGACCGCGTAATTGCTGTCGCTGCTGCTGCTGCTGCTATTGCTGTTGCTACTGTCCATGTTGTTGTTGTTGTTGTCGTCTTCGAGTAAAGAAATGATCTTTTTCATGTGTAGTTGGTTAAACCGAAAGAGCTGTTGTTGTTGTTGCATCATCTCCATCTGCCTTTGCTGTTGAAATTGTTGCCTCTTCAAGAGGCGGTTTTTCGTCTTTTCGACATTGCTGGCAGGAGATTTGGCCTTCTTCTTGAAATGGGTTCGCCAGTAGTTCTTGATCTCGTTATCCGTTCTTCCAGGCAAGCTTCGTGCTATGGTCGACCATCTGAATTTTATTTTTAATTTGTTTATAGTTGTTTAAGGTTTTCAAGCATAAGTAAACAGCCGAATTTAGAAATGATAAGACTGTGTTTGTATGTTACCTGTTTCCCCATTTGGCATGTAGCTCAAGGATTATGCTCTCTTCATGAGGAGTGATCTGCCCTCTCTTAAGGTCTGGCCTCAGATAATTCACCCATCTCAGTCTGCAACTTTTTCCATTCCTCTTCAGTCCTGAACAATCATATCATTGAAACACAACACAGTTCATGAGAGGGAGAGGGAAAG